ATACAGCGGTAGTCAACGTCAGATTCACCCGACACCGCTGCGTAACGTGTTGACTAAGGAAGTGTTGGCGAAATTGGCTGAAGACCCGGAAGGTAGAAGGGCCCGTCTCTTAATACTTACTGTCTGCTCAATTACTCTCTTATGGCTCCGTGTAGAATATTAAGTCCGCACTCTCTATTACACGGGCTTTTGTCTGATATCGTGGGTCCGCACTTATGTGTAGAAGGGCTTTTGTCTGATATCGTGGGTCCGCACTTACGTGTAGAAGGGCTTTTGTCTGATATCGTGGGTCCGCACTTACGTGTAGAAGGGCTTTTGTCTGATATCGTGGGTCCGCACTTACGTGTAGAAGGGCTTTTGTCTGATATCGTGGGTCCGCACTTACGTGTAGAAGGGCTTTTGTCTGATATCGTGGGTCCGCACTTACGTGTAGAAGGGCTTTTGTCTGATATCGTGGGTCCCCACTTACGTGTAGAAGGGCTTTTGTCTGATATCGTGGGTCCGCACTTACGTGTAGAAGGGCTTTTGTCTGATATCGTTGGTCCGCACTTACACAATATATTCCCCAGGCAACAAGCAGTTGAAGGAGCAGATCCCTGAAGGGCACACCCTCAAGGATACCATCACCAGTGCTCAGTTCTATCAGGCTATGGGGCGTATGGATGAGGCCATGTAGTATAGTGGACGGCCTTCGCAAGCAACTTTGCTGCTCAGTGGCTGGCGCTTGTCTCCCTCTGAATTAGATACTCGGAGAACGTCCTTGCCCTCTTCCAGGCTTTAGAGTTGGATGCTTCCCTACTGGACTCCCACGCTGACCGTAAGATCTCCTCGATGCTTTCTCGTTCCAATGTCGATGCTGTTCCTCAGCCTTTGAAAGCCTTTGTGAAGCTCTGGAGAAGAAGTATAGGAAGGAGGGGTCCTCTCAGCCTTCTGATACTGCCCAGAAGGCCGATGAAGATATGCCAAGTGCTGATTAAGTGTTTCCAATACTGAGTTCTTCTGGAGTTGGAGTTCCTTTCCGAATATTGTGGTCGAAGGTATGTGAGTGGTAGTTTCTGCCAGAAACTTTGAGGATCGTTGATTTACCATAATGAGGAGGTACCAATAGTGTGCTCCTAGGATGCCGAGGAAGGGAGGATGTCGGGCTAATTTGAACCATTATCTACTGCTCGGTATCCAGGAGCTAACATCTCGACTGCGACCATGTGCCGATCGGTTTCCTCTGTGGTGACTCGCACTTCGAGCTCGACTGCTGTTGTCACACGCCATCGCGGGAGAATTCCCTGGTTAACTTCGTTTTATGGTTTAATACTGTCTCAGTAGTGGAGATATCACATTTCCTTTAATGGAAGCTTCCACCATATCGAAGCCTCCGACAGTGGCGGAAGAGGTGCCTGATGAGAACAGCGTTAGAGGACGTAAGACAGTAGCCATGGTTAAGAGCGAGCATACTTGGCGGAAACGGAAGAACTTCACCCCTGTACGGGTAACCCTCCTAGAGCCTCTCCGTCATCTTCTCTAGTCGCGAAGCTTTTTAGAGGGACCAGCTTTCCAAGCGAGGCCGGACTAGCCCTCGGAATAAGAATAGTAGTAGGAGGACGCTCCTCTGTGTGGGAATGGGCACAGCCGTTTAGGTGCCCAATCTATCAGAAGGTTTCTTGCCCCCGTCTCGAAGCCTAGCACTACCACTACTGGGGTGTTACCACTCAATTTGGACATTCGTGGGGTTCACGTT